TTTTTTTTTTCAGTATTAAGATGACCTCCTTGGCCTGGGGACTTTTTATTAGTAATTATTAGTTATTACAGTTACAATAAAGATACAAATAGCCACACGTGTATCTTTTGGGTACCTATTTAAGTAGTCTGCCCACAGGTTCTACACTAGATGTCGTACCTATAACCCAACTAGGGAGTTACTCTTTTAAACCTTCTGATTCTAACTGTATTTATAACCTATCATACTAATCTGAGAACTACCATCTGGCCTATTCCTCTAGATTTTGCACCCTGCCTTAGGACTTTTGTGACTTATCCTGGGTTTGCACTGACTAATTACCAGCTTGTATTCCTTCATTGAGCGGACGTACAACTATCTACAAGATAAACCTACCAGAGCTTTCCCTATCCTATTTTAGGCCAACCTGGTTTTGCACAGTTGCTGAGGCTCCCACTTGCAGTTGGGCTATTACCCATTTAACTGCTTTTGCCCTTATAAGGTTCACTTTCCAATCCCAATACCCGCATTCAGACCTTTCCTTTTTCAATTATTTTCTTATTAGTCCCTCCCTTACTTCCAACTGATGACCCGGAAGATTCAACCTTGGCTTGGCATTAGGTGCCGGTGCCCTCGTCTCATCTTGGTACATGATTTTATAGCACATGTCCTTTTCCTCCAATTTGGTTGGCTGGTCCTCCGGACACGCCCGGCATTTTTCCGTACGACTGGTTTCCCACCCAACTTCCATAGCCCTAGTCTTGGTGGGTAGGGCCCCCACTGCTGGTTTCTCACGCCAGCTAGCTAGGGTTGGTGTACTCCGTAACGGCCTCACAGATTTCTGGCTTTTCCTAAATTGGCAGTCAGGTTGGTAGATCCCCCTTCTAAGGATCTTGTTGTCGTTCAGTTCTCTAATCTCGGTCCTAACTTCCAAATTCGGGTCTTTCCTGTGGCACTGTCGAAGATTGTAGTTATTCCTTACTCGGGTCTTCCCAAACGGGTTTCGATCATCCCGGTTTCTTGGCATTTCTACGCCGAAGCTCCCATTCTAGATGGTGCAACCAAGATTACAGATTTCTAGATCCAACCGATCGATGATAATCGTTACCTAATGCAAATCTATTTTTCGAAAAATGTCATCCGTGGGATTCGAACTCTAGACCTGCTGCTTGGTGGGGTGACGACTAGACCACTTCACTAGGCCGCTACACCCTGGTAATTTTTTTTTGTTTTTTTAACTTTTCATATACACGTTTATATTTTTTAAGCAGATTTCTTAAAAATTCTAGTTCTTCAAGAGAGAGATTTGACTTTAAATTTTCTTGTTTTTCATAGCGAATAACAGTTTGTATTAAATACTTTAGTAGCTGTTATGGGTAAATCAGATACTTCACCTTCATCATTAATTTCTTGGCTAACTGATTCTTCATTTTTATCAGCTTGAACTATAGAAATGATCCTCTCATTATCAAGTATTTCTTTTGTAGCAACAGGTTCATTAATTACTTGTAGATATGTTGTTATGACTTGAGCTATCTCTGGTGCATATAAACTTTTATCCGGTAATTTAGCAACTATTTCCTTAATTTCATTATTTTCTAATAGAATATCACTTTCGGGTTGATCTACATTATCCATATCTGGCTTATTTGTGTTCGAGAGAATTCTTGTCTTGTTCTAGCAGTTTTGAATAGTTGTATTACTTACATTGTTCTATAATTCTATGATGAAATCTATTGCTTTCTAAATAGTTATTTTTTTTCTACAAGCAAAAAAAAAAATTTAGTCCAAACAATAGCAACAAATCATACCATATTTTTGCAAATAATTATACGAACTTTTCTATATTAGCATTGAATTCGAATTGCTTGAGAACATATTCACAGTATAGGTGCTTATATTTTGAATTAAATACTTTGATTATACTGGTGTCTATTGGTTGGATATAAGCAGTTGTGTGAGGTGAAAAATAATGCAGGGTAATATTTGTAAGCTTCAATGTCTCAGAAAGTTCTTTATTTCGTCTATGAGAAGAATTG